GACAGGCGTGGACGCAAATCCAGATTCTACTTCCTACTGGCTATATGCTCCTGGGAAAGCCATTTAACTTTTCTAAGCCTTTTTCCTCAACTGTTAAATGGACATAATGACATAATCGCCTGTTAAATGCTTAACATAATAAGCCTATTCTGGTAAAAAGCAATCACTCAATAAATTATCCTTGTGTCCTAATTCTCAGCTCCTGGCATTCTATTCCTCCTATTCCCATCTTGAAAAATTCACTGTTTTGAATAGCTTTGACTAATACTGCAATTAAGTGTATTTCTGAAGTTGGTGTTGCAGGACTAAACCTTTCATACCCTTCTTCCGTAATAAAATGACTACTGTATATTTCACCAATATCTAAGAAATAAGCAACGTACTGAAAACTGATTTCATCTTCATGCTATTTCTTAAAATATTAATTTCCCTTGGCTTCTGCAATATGATACTTTTCAGATTTTTCTTCTCTGGCCATCTCTTCTTGGACTCTACTGCCAGCTCATTCTCCTATAGCCAGACTCTGAATGTCAGTGCCATAAAGGGAAAGCTAAGTATTTTCTTCATTTCTTATACTATAGTCTCTCCCTTGGTGGATCTCATGCTTCCTCATGGCTAACACTGCAATCTATAAAAAGGTAAATGACTTCCATATTACCTCTGGTGCAGACCTCGCCTCTGAGTTCTAGACCACTATAGCCAACTGCCTATGGACATCACCGTGTGATGACAAGGCAAGTTAAACTCCATAGATCCAAAACTAGATCCATGGTCTTCCTGAATTTATGATCCAAACTGGATTCAGGATCAACAAACCTAGTTCTTCACCAGTATTTTGTTGTTAGTGTATAAATGTCACCACCATCCAACCAAGACACATATCTCAGAATTCTACAAGTCCTTTATAACCTTCCCCACCCCCCAATCCAAATCTAATCTTTTCCATTATATGGATCTTGAGAGATGAATTTCAATCTATTTTTTACACTAATACCAAAATAGTATCCTTTGCTAGTTTCATTCCTCTACTATCCATGTTATCACTATGATAGCAAGGTCTCTATAAAATGAAATTCCTGATTTCCCCACCTTTCCTGTTTATAACCTTAGACTCATATCTCAACAATCCAATTTCTTATTCCTAGATAGTAAATATTCTATCTACTCCAGCCACAAAAATCTACAATATCTCATATAACTTATTCTCTCCTATCTCTCTTCATTGACCAAGCTATGTCTTTTTCTCTCTCAAAACTCCTCTTTGGCCTGGCCAGGGGCAGTGTTACTTAGTGGTTGAGCATCAACCCATGAATCAGGAGGTCCCTGTTTCAATTCTGGGTCAGGGCACATGCCTGGATGTTGAGCTTGGTCCCCAGTGGGGGGTGTACAGTAGGCAGCTGATCAATGATTCTCTTTCATCATTTAGTTTCTATCTCTCCCTCTCCCTTCCTCTCTCTGAAATAAAAAAATTTTTAAAAACCATATATTTAAAAAATTCCTCTTGGAAGCCTTCACTGATTAATTCAACAATACCACTCCTTAGTAGGGAAAAAAATAAAGTTACAGATTCAGAATCAATAATCTATCTTTGACAGTGACCAACACAGCATATTACACTTTTTCCTTCCAGACATGGTCCTTAAAAATTTGTTATTATCCAAATACATGAATGATTTCCTTTAATCATACATTAAGCACTGAATCTATAAATATATACCAAATCTATAAATTTGTTTTTTATGAACTCATATATTTTCAGCCTTTTCTGTTTCATAAGTTTATGAATTTCACAAGCTTAACATCAACTATATAAAACTACTAGTAAACTTCCTTTGTTTGTTCTGAATTTCCTAAGCATCAAGGTAATCTCACTTCAGCATTTTCTGATTTGTGAACAAGCTGATAAGTTGTCTCACCCATATCATTTGTGATTTAAAAGCAATACAAAAATAAATACAGCATGAATTATGCCCTTATAGTCTGTTTAAAGGGTGAGATCCAGCAATATTCATATTTGTATTCCTAATGTCCATAGCAATGTCTCACAAAGAGAAGGTACTCAATACATGTTCAACAGAATTAAAGGAAATATGCGTAGGACTGATGTAATGTTTATGAATGCCAAAAAAATATAATAAATATATATCTTCTACTTCTTTTCAAGTAAAATTACATTTGGAGAAGATTTTATATATATATTATATATTTGGCATTCACAAACATTACATCAGTCCTATGCATAATTCCTTTAATTCTGTTGAACAAAGAAAGTGGTAAGCATTTGTGGAACCAACCTGAATTACACTACTCTAATTTCCTTTCATTTTTTAAAGGTGTTTATAGATAGACCATGCATCAAAAAGCAGTAAAAATGGTGTGTAGGTCAGATTTCAACAAGGTATTTGACCAGATTCTTATTATACCCATAGAGATAAGGTAAACATAAGATGGCTAACAGTACAACTACACAGCCAGGCAATTGTTTGAATGAACATAACAAGTGTTCATTAATGAACTGCTCTCCACCCGAAGGGCAGGTCGACTGACAAGCTTCAGGACTCAAACCCTGACCCTTCTCCTGTTCAACAATTTGATCAATAACTTAAATGAGTATGTAGAAGATTGCTATACTACTGTTGGCATCCAATGTGCAGTTGACTTTAAACCTAGGGGCTCATAAAATATATTACAAAAAGAGCCAGGATCTAAAAACACAATAATAAGCCAGACAAATGGCTCACTGTAAATAAAATGAAATCTAATAGGGAAAAATACCTAAGAGGTCAATTAATAACTGTGTCCAAGCACATACATACAACTGTGAAGTGGACAAGTGCCGTGATTTAATCGCCACATGTGTAAAACAAACAAACAATGGTTTAGCTGACTGCAAGTTTTAGATCAATCTGAGGGCAGCAAGCTCCATAGGATGTGGATATCAGAAAGGCTAATGTGACGCACGTTGCTGCAGTAGTAGTATCTCAAGCATGGGAGATAGGAGCCCTGCTCACCTCTGGACTGATCAGACCACAGCTGGATAGTGTGTGCCTTTTTGGGGGTCACAGTCTTCAAAGGATCTTAACCTTAGGGGCACATATTCAGAAAAGAACCATCAGGATGCTTATGAGCCTGGACACTACTCCATAAAAGGAAAGACGGAAGGGAACAGATTTATCATATACACAGGACAACATAATGCCTTCAGAAGAAAAACGATGGCTACCTTCATTCAGTCGTTCAACAAACGTGAATTTCAAACCGATGTCAGTACAGACATTATGACAGTGGCTTGGGATACAGAGAGAAAATAGTCTATGCTGTGCGAAATTCGTGTGTGTGTGTGTGTGTGTGTGTGTGTGTGTGTGTGTGTATCTAAAGAGCTGAAACAGCCATGCTCTGAAAAAGGATTGGATTGCTCTATGTGATTTCATAAGGCAGGAACAGGAGCAATGGAAAGAAATTAGAAAGAAACCAACTTCAGCTCCATATAAGGAAGAGTAGTATTCGAAGAGCCACAGCTCTCTAATGAAGGAAGCAGCCGCCTGAGAAAACTACAAGCTTCTGATCGTAATGGTGCACTTAGAGGGAGAAGGCTGAAATAAGACAAGCGCTGCCCTGGGCATCTTTGACATTTCCCAATTTCTGCACTACCATTCCACACTTCCCCAGGGAAACGGACTCCCGCCAGATTCCTCCGACGTGTGTACTTCAGCATCATTTCCTACAGTTGCTACTTCCAACTTTGTACCCTGTCCCACACTAAAGCGAGGCTTTATAACTGGGAATGGATCTGAGAGCAGTAGGAATAATGAGATAGAGGAAGAAACGTATCCATCAGAACACGGGACACAAAAAAAAATCAATACTGTTCGATAAATGTAAGACTGTATCACTCTGAAACAAATGTAAGAACTACCTGTCCTTTAAGCCACAATCTCATTTAAAAACATTCCATTTTGTTCCATTAACGTAAATAAGGATTTATTATCTACTGCATCTCCTGTTGGGAGCCATTTTTTCTCTAACCAACAAGGAAAAATTTTTAACTTAAAATCACTTCAAGAATTTGTGTCTTACTTACATAGGCATTCTAAAACCCTCTATTATAAGGTTATGTAGAAATTAAGTTTGCAATATATTTCTAATAAGAAATGATTCATCGGGGATAGCAGGACAAATACCGTGAACTAATCAAATTGTGAGATTCTAATTAAATGACTACTTAAGTTTAATCCGTTTTTTTCAAAACCCCATGCAGTGATAAACAGAGAGAAAAAGGCCTCGATCGTTTAGTCCTGGCTTTTATAAATGGGTACGATTATTTAAGATGACTTTCATTCATTTTACTTTGAAATTTTAAAACAGCTCTCTCTATGCTGCAGCTGGCTATTGAAGGAGCTCACCCTTCCAAACTGTTAATATTAACTTCTTGGAAGCATTCCCTCACCCTGTAGCGCTTTCTCAGCTGGATGCAATGCATGCGCTACAATTCGATTTCCAAAGGCTCTTTCTTTTTAACGAACTACGCGGAAAGACAAAAGTGAGAAAGAAAGAGAGGCATCTTTAACCACTAGTCTTGAAGAAAAAGAAAAAATAAAAAAAGCTTTCCTCTCCGATTGCCATCCACTCCGAAGGCTCTCGACCATTTCTCAACACACTGCCTGGTCTTTTCGGGGGTTTTTTGTTTGTTTGTTTGTTTGTCTGTTTGTTTATGTTTAAGAAAAGAAAAAGAATAGCTTCCAGTTTTCCTGGGACGGGGAGATCCCCTTTTGCAGAAGTGGCTACAGCTGGGCTCCCCACGGGGAATTTCAGCTCGTTGCCACGGCAGCGCCGCCCGGAGTCGCCCAGCGGAGGGCAGCTGCCGCCCGGAGCCCGAGCCCGGAGCCCGGGGCGGCCCCGCCTGCGGCAGAGCAGCCGGCCGAGCGCAGCCCCCCGCGGCCCCGGCCCCGGCCCCGGCCCCGACCCCGACCCGGCGCGAGGCGGGACGCCGCCGCACTTACAGTGACACCATCCCAGGTGGCAGCACCAGTGCAGCTTGAAGCACTTGCCGTGGCTGTGCGTGGCACAGATGGACAGCCCGTCGCACGGCTGGAAGTCGGGTCTGCGGGCGGCGCAACTCCGCGCCAAGGCCTGCGCCTCGTCCACTTTCTCGCTCTTCCAGCCCCGCTCGGGCGCCGCCGCCGCCGCCCTCATCTCGTCTCCCTCCGCGGAGCCGAGGCCGAGAGCTCGCCCGGGAGCAGCGGCGTCTGGGCGGACGGGGAGCCGAGGCGGCTGCGGCGCGGGAGGGCGCGGCGCGGCCGGGGAATCACGCCAGCGCGCGGCGGCGGCGGCGGCGGCGGCGGGAGCGCGGCGGTCCCAGCTCGCCGCCGAGGAGCCGCCCCGGGCTCTGCGAACGACCGGGGGGCCGGGCCTGCCGCCGCCGCCGCCGCCCGCCGCCGCGGCGCGCCCCCCGCGCACGCGCACACAGACACACACGCGCGCGCGCCGTCCAGGGGGCACGCCGCGCGAGCCCGCCCCTCACACACACACACCCCGCGCGGGGGCGCGGGCGTCGGCGCGCCCTCCGGGCGCAGCGAGTCCCCGCCACACACCCACTCCGAGGAAGGACCGTTACACACATACACACACACACACACACGCGCGCGCGCGCGCGCGCGCGCCCTGGCAGCTTGGTTTCCACACGCACGCCAGTTTACACGCACCCTTCCCACGCGCACTTCCCTCCGATCTGGGTCATCTCGAGGACTGGCACCCACACCCCACGGAGGGCTGCGCGCCCGAGGACACGCCCATCCGTACTCTCAGTGGGCTGGTCCCTGCGCATCCGCGAGCCAGGTTCTCTCTCTCCTCTCTCTCTCTCTCTCTCTCTCTCTCTCTCTCTCTCTCTCTCTCTCTCTCTCTCTCTCACAAACATACACACACACACACACACACACACACACACACACACACAGCCTCTCCCCACGCGCGCCTCGTGTCTCCCACGCACACACCTCCCGGGTTGTCTGGGCGCAGCCCCTCCGGGGCGCGCCGCACCTCCCCGCACCCACGCACTCCCCGAGGACCTGCCTGCGGCCCTGTGCACGCCCCCCCCCCCCCAGCTCCCTGCCCAGAGGGCCGCCAGGCCCCGCCCGCACGCGGGAAACCCCAGCCCCGCACCGCGGCTGGCGCCCGCCTGCAATAACCCGGGTTCACCCGCCTCGGGCTGTAGTAGTCCAGGCCTTGCTGAGCAGAAAAGTAACCAAGAGCTGGGTGCCTGTGATGCTGTGGAGTGTGTTGTGTGTGTTGCATTTGTAGTGCACAGAACTGGAATGTAAAATGTGTGTGTGTGTGTGTGTGTGTGTGTGTGTAGTTTGGTGTGGATGGGATGTGTGTGGATGTGTGATCTTTGCATGGAGTTTGTGTGGTGGGCATGTGCGTAGTTGGATGGATTGTTAAGTGAATACATGTTACATGGGCTGTGGGTGTGGGTATGTGTGTGTAGTGTGTGTGGTGCATGTGACTTATGTGGAGTGTGTGTGATGGGGTGTGTATATGCATGTGTTTGTGACGAATGTGGCATGTGGGTGGTGGGTATGTGTGTGTAATAGAGTGTATGTGGTATGTGTAGGATGTGCACATATAGTTGCATATATGTGTACGTGGTGTGTGGATAGATACGGTGTGTGGTATGTGTGTGGCTGTGTGGTGCGTGTGCCTGGCATATCGGTGTATGGCTGGTGTATGGGTGGAGGTTAATGTGTGTGGTACATGTGGGTGTTGGCACACAAATAGGACTTGTGTTTGCCCTGGGCTCTGTGTGTGCCTTTTTGCATGTGAAGGCCCGCCCTTGCCTGCGGGTGAGACTGGCTGGATGGTGGCTGCAGCTCCCCCACACAATCATCTTGCCTTCTTCCCTCCTGGGGACAGGCTGCTCCAAATAGATTTCCTATGCCAGTCTGGCCTGTGAGAACCCACCCGGGGCTGAATGCAGTGAAGAGAAAACAAACCATTTGCTCCCGGGGAGCGCAGTTGGGAATTAGAGTTTCCCTGCAACAAAGCCAAACGCTGCCTGAGCACAAAAGGGGGATGGGAGGGAGAAACCTCCTCTCATTTGCAAACCTTTTTCAAAGCAGAGGAAAGTGCCTATAATTGCTAAGGTCCAGGGAACAACAACCACAAAGCTTTTAGCACAAATGCTGTGTGAGAACATGTTTATGCCCAGGTTCGCTTTCCCCATTACTTTATTTCTTTCCTACTTTACACTGACAAGGAGACTTATCATGGTTTCAAAATAACCAAATTCATCTTTAAGCACTGAGAATCCTTGCTTCTATAAGCAATTTTTCATAATTTTCCCTTTTATGGAACCTTGGCTTAAGAGGGGAAATATAATTTGCATGTATCTGATTCTAGTGAAGTCATTATCTGGAGGTTGGGGAAAGACTCAATTTGATGGCAAAATTATTTGAAAGAAAGAGCTGAATCAAAATCTCAAAATATGGTTCCCCCAATAGCCTAACATTGAAACAGTTATAAACATGAAGCATCATCTCTTCAACATAAGTGTCAGGTGCCCCCTCCTGAAAAAAAATCCTAAGATCTGTGAAAGAAAAAAAGCCACATGCTAACCTGACAAGCTCAGAGAAGGCCTGCATGGCAGTCTTGCAAACCCAGAGACCTAAGAAAACCACAAAAGATGGTTTGAAAATTAAATATCTAACAGGTTATAGTAGGTAGTCATGTCCCAGATATTCTCCCAAAGATCAACTTTGATCTTTTTACTGAGCCCGTTTGCCTTTTTGCCTCTAAGATAACATATCTGTGAGATGTCTGGGTAACTTGTAACTTCCCTTTTTCTGGAGCCCCTGGGGAACAACCAAATGTGGTGGGCGCCAGGACAGATGCCTCAAATCTCATAAACTCATTCTAATTCTGTTCATCCTATATAATAAAAGGCCAGGGACCATAAGTGTAACAACCAGAAAGACCACTTGATTAGTCGCCATGAGTTGCATTGACCACCTCTTGGTCCCTCCCCAACACCCCTCCCCCACTCGCAAACAGCGGCTTGCAGCAGCGGGTGGGCAGGTGGGGCAGCTCACAGCTCGAGGCAGTGGGTTGGTGGGGCAGTAAGCGGTGGCAAGCAGCAGTGAGCTATGAGTGCACGATTTCATTCACCGGGCCTCTAGTATTATATAATGCCTTATAACAGAATTCTTTCAGTATTCCAGTAACTAATATTTGAACAGGATCCTTTCACTGGCTCTTACTCTTGAGTGAACCACCTTATATGATTCTACTACATATAAAACCATATATGATACCATCTCAGGTAGTGAAAAGTGAAAAATAATGCAATATAGCACCTTAGCCAATAGGTAAGGGAAATTACCCAAATACTCTATTTTATGTTAGCCACGTGATTTGAATCTGAGACGCCTTTACCTTTGCTGTCATATAAAACTCACCCCATCCCCTTGACCCATGATGTCACTAACCTTTACTATCTGTAGAGCAGCAGGAAGGGATAAATGTGCTGTGATCTCAAACATGAACACATACAACCTTCAGGAGATGTGGTCGGGCTACAAGTTTTTAAATTTTTAAGCACATACAAAACTAGAGAGACTATTATAATACCCTCCCCTCTCCCGCCCCTTCCCATACTCATCACTTGGTTTCAATAAACATGAACTCATTTGGAAAATCTTGTTTCATTTATAGCTCCACCTACACCTGACCCCCATCCTGCCACTGGATTATTTTGAAGCAAATCACAGACACCATCCATAAATATTTTAGTATTTACCTCTAACGGAACTTTAAAAAACCATAACCCACAATATTATTGCCACAGAATAGGATACAATTTGATCATAAATATGAACTTGTCCCATAGCTGCTGACTGCCTCTCTAGCTCCCCTTTAAGAATCTCATTCTTTCTGTCTGGAATTTTCCCCCTTCCCCTTCTTTCTCACTTACCTACCTCCTCAAAGTACAACTTGTGACATTCAGAGTTTTTATTTATGGCTACTATCTTAATGAGCCCGTCTCCATCTGTGGCCCTTGGCTGTGCCAAATATAGGCAACACTGGCAACAGTAGGGAAACAATCCACGGGAAGCAGCCTAGAGCACTTTCTCTCCACCCTGAGATGAAGCCTGTCTGGGCCTGGAAAAGTAACCTTGGAAACCCCTCATGGATTTAAAGAAAGGCTGCCACCACCATTGCCATGTTAAAGGAACAGAATTGCCTCCTCTGGCTTATATTTCAATGACAAGTAAATTAAAGTGGTGTTAAAAAAAAAAAAAAAAAAAAGCTTTCTTTGATCAACCTAGACTATTATTGTATTTTTCCTGTATTTTTTTTCTCTCGAAAATTGTTAGACTGAAAATTCAGGGGCGTCTTATACACGAAAGTCAGCCCAGGAGGGAGCTGCGCAGGTTCGTAGCTGCCCATACCTTGTCAAACAGGCTTCCTCCAATCACAGCCTTATTGTTACTGACATCAGCTGATGACATAATTGGAGGTGGAGGTGGAGATGGAGAGTGCCCAGATGCAACAGGAACGTTCTGAGCCCATAAAGATGTCAAAAAATAAAAAAAGATAAATAATGGTAAGCAATTGTCTTACTCTGCAAAATGCAAACTGAATGCAATCAGCTATGCAAAAGAGCATAGAAATAGAACTGCAGAGAAACAATTTGGATCTCCTCCCACTGAGTATGACCAGACAGTGGAGAAAACAGGAAGAACAACTCCTTAAGATGCCAAAAAAGAAGAAGGCCTTACGAGGAAAACCAGCAAAATATTTAAAATATTGATTTCTTAATCTGGGGGCATCTTATTCATGGAAAAATATTGTATATACACTCACGCTTCATATCGCTTGTAACTTTAAATGAATCATTGAAGAAGGAATTATTGAGCCAATGTCTTTCCCTATGTCCTTTCTCCTGCCACAAACTGTAAGCTCTTGAGGGCAGGAACCTGGTCTCTGTCTTATTCATCATCTGTCCCCATTATCTATCACAGAGAATAAATAATTGTGGAAGTGGTGAAAAGTAGTCCATCTCAAACTTCAAAGGCTGGGGGAAAAGTTCATCTGTGGTAAACTGTTTGCAAATACAAGGGAATACTTTCTATAATTACCCTTCCTGTAACCACACCCTTACATAGTTTCCTTCCACACTGACTCTGAGTTAGCTATGT